CGTGATGTTAAAAACGCGCCACAACTGCCAAAAAACTAGATTTTGCAGCGACTTTGAGTCAAAATAATCTTGTCACTCACTTAACACAACTTCTATAAAAGAATCGAATGCCATGCCCAAAAACAATGCTTTTTGAAATTAGAACTTAGCCTTGTATACTAGTTTATCTTAACAGGTATAGCTGCATGTTTTCAATCAAACTGTAGGATTGTAACCTTTCTGTTGACAATTTCAGAAATTTGAGGTTTGAATGTAGAATAATACATCCATCAAAAGTTAACATAAAATAACCTATGCTTAATTGTAGAATACTAAATACCTCTAGATTGATTGCAACACGATGTACTCTTCATAGCAACATCTACTATTTTAGTTTTCATATCCCGTCTTGCACAGATATCTATCGACTGATAAGCAGAACAACTGGCTCAGTGGACAAATTCACCATGTCACATCGAATAATAAACACTTACGGCGATATAGAATTTAAGCTTTTCCTATGTTCCAAAGTAGTGAACCGTTGTGTTAAAAATGTGAATTGCACTGCTAAAACGCGGGTAATATAAATACTGATGGAAACATAAAATACTAAAACTAGAAATATTGATCATATAATTTTCTCACTATAATGCACTATTGATGCAATAAATATTTTTTGGCTCGTAAGTTTTGAAGAATTAACAAAATCTCAATAAACGTTTTAAAAGTCGGTGTGTTCTTCTCAAGTACAGAGGGGACTTGTTTTGCAATCGATTGCTATAGTGTACACCAATCTACCCTTCATCATATAATAATGAACCCTGTTACAATATCGTATAATAATCTACCCCTGATTGTTGGATAATACGCTGATTTTTAAATAGGCATATTAATCTACACATATCCGTTTATTAATTATCACTTTGAATAAAATTATGAAATATAAAATCCTAAAAACAGTTTCATATACCCTGACAATCACAAACCCTTCAGTTCATATACCATTTCTAGAGTATAGGGCGTGCACATAAACCCTTCAAGGGTTTATAGAAAAAAAAATCAAGGGCAAGCGTTCATTATTCTGCCCGTTTTTTACAGTGTATAGTTATTAAAATTTAGCGACAAGAAAAATTTCTCAGAGATAGGCAATGCATTACAACATTGATATATTCCTATGAATTCTAATTAAAATCAGTAAAAAGTTTTTCTTTAACTAGCTTATTTTATTTTTTCTAATTTTTGTCATTTAATTTCATTTGTGACAACTCAAAATAGAATTATAATTAACAAAATGAATTTGAATTCCTCTTAGTTTTCCTACGTTCTCAATTGCATTTTCTGACTGAAATTTTTGTCATTATTCAGTAATAAAAATTATAGTAAGAGATCTTAGTTTTTTCTAATAAAAATATGAAAATGATTTGTCGTTTTCTCTCTCGTTTCATGATGATTTTCAAAAGAGAATCATGAATAGAATTGGAAAAAAATAATAGTATTTCATCTTTCTTCAACTAGTATCATAATAGAAGAGAAGAAGAAAAAGATTCGAATAATAATTGCTTTTCTTTTCTATATTTTGTTAATATGAAGAAAAGAAAAAACTACAGATCAATTTTTATTCATAATGCTTAATAATAAGAAGATGGACATGAATAGTTATGCTTTTAATAGTTCGAAAGACGAAATACGATTACTAAAGGAGAAAAAAATCGAAGATTGCCTGTATATTGTCAATGTATAAAGAGAAGAGCAGTTTCTTCGATTTTCTTGATAAAAATCAAGTAGGCGTTTACTACCAACTAGTTTTCTATGGATCGCAGTAATTTAAATATTGATATTTACAATGACCAACATAATATGCCTTTTGAAACATTGATGTTGGTGTGAGTTTTGTTTTCAAATTTACTAATTCAATCATTTTCCAAGAATTTGATTTATATTAGACTGTAAATACAGATAATTATAAGATTAGTATTAATAATTTTATTCATTGAAAATCATAGATCAAATAAAACAATCAAATGTCTATTTAATATATTTTTATAAAACCATTCTAACTGAACACGAACAATAAATGAGAAGGATTGAGATATTTTCAAAAATGAATGTAATGAGTAAATAAAAAAGGCGTATCTTACATCAATGAAAATATTTATTTAAAATCGAAATAAATTAAATGAACAATCGCCATTTCGAAAGACAAAACTTATAAAATATGAACATGATGAACGTAAGTATAATGGAAGAATTTAACACAAGAAAATAATTAATGAGAGAAATCATTGCATTTGGAAAAGTATCGAAGGAATTATTTTCGAATGTGCATTTTAAGTTTGATTATCGACTTATAATTTAGGACATGTAATAAATATTTCACAAAACCTTGATCAATCGACAAAGACAGTAGAACATCAGGAATATCATTTTATTTGTACCTACTTATCCTAGGCTTTTGTTTTAACGAAAATACATTCTGATTATTGAAAAATATAAAGAGTTAAAGATTTCAATTTTCAGATTGTAACGCAATCTCTTTTAGAATCCTTATACCGAGCAGTCCTTGAGAAATAAATACTAACCAGCCAAAAAACCAACAACAGGATTTTGCCCTTTCGTTTCGTATAAAAGTGCATGTATAAATATTCCTTTTATTATAAAAAGCAATTAGTAACTAAAAGAAAAATTAATGATGTTGCCTTTGTTACATTTCAAATGGTGAATAGCCTTCAAAATTCTATTCTTTTCGATTTAAAATGAATTGCAATCAGTACAATATGTGTCCTATCAATAATGTCTTTTATATGATTTAGAGGTTATCCCGAAGTATGAAAGCTAATAGAAAATGAAAATTCCCAAAGCAGTGTTAAAAGAAGTTACTTAGATCAAATAGATTAAGAAAGAGTTTATCATGTTTTACATTAGATAGATCTCATTGTTATAAGTACTGATAACTCTTATCATAGAAAAAACATTACTGAAATATAGTTACAATGCTTCGACAACGAATATAATTACATTATATAGCTTAAGTTGTAAATACCTTACTGCACTTAACTGTTTTTGTTAGTTTCATCTTGTAGAATTTGTGATATTTGCTTCATTATCTTAAATGATTACACGTAAACATATCATTATAAATTTATTATTCAAGAATATGTTCGATGCTCATACCTGATAAGCATTAATTTTTAATCACTATCGCAGCAAACAAATAGTCTAAAATCGTTTACTACTGAAAAACGATATAATGCCGTAAACAAGAATAATACAATCAAAATCAATGAATAAATTTCAGTTGGAGAATCATTATAATCGAGCGCTTAAATTCTCGAACACGGTACTAATGAGATTTTTCAATATAATACGTAGAACACATTTCGCAATTGATTCTGTCAACGAATAGAACTGGACCATTTAAGAACATCTGTTGCACTGTGTAGTAGAATTGTAATGCATTTTATACAGCAATAAATTTTGAATATACAAAAAAGTTAAATTAAACCGAACTTTGGAAAATTTAAATTTTCGAACACAATTGAAAAGATTAGGTCAATGACTTTAAGATTTTAATTGAAAAGTAAATAGATAGAAGTTCAGCTCTCTAGTTTTGTTAGTATAAACAAATATAAGATTTAGGAATACAAAATTCTCTCTTTGTTGTTATGATCCGCCGAAACAAATGTAGCCATACCATCATAGACGTACGAATATTTTTATTAATAAATCCCCATTTGTTTTGATGTTTCAATTGTTTTTTATTTTATTTTCATCTTAGAGCAGAAGCGTAAAGTAATCTCTTTCATAGTTGCGAGATATGTTTGAGTGATAGATAGCATGATGCGACTATTAAAAAAAAAGCTATGAATCATTCTAACCAACGTTTTTAATGTTTTTTCTGACTTTGATAAATTGAAAAATAATTTATGGTTTGAGAATAGGTTTGTTTTTTATTTGATGTGGAGTGTATATCATGTTATCAAAATCAGTAGAGAAATCGTTGAGATATCAATTCATCCTTTGCCCACTTTTCTGAATGCTAGTAATATTATGAATGATGAAATAATTCTTTTACAACATCGAAACAATTTGTAGATAAATATTCATTTTTCATGACAGATGCAAAAGTTCGTTCGCTAAAAAATAATTGTTTATCTTCGATGCTATATCATAAAACTATCGTATCAATCAAAGCATCTCTTTCCATAAATATCAGGTCAATGTTGAATTATTTGATAGATTTATGTATTAAAAGAACGGTTATACTCAAACGAATTAGACATGATAACGTTGGATAACAAATACAAATAAATAAATCAGACAGCATGAATTGAACACAAGTGTTTACTATCAGTCAACATTTTCAGCTGAGATGCTTGTACACAACGCTGTTCATTTTACGTTGAGAAAATATGCCATTCTGCTTCTTTTTAGATTTCGAAAAAAACAATGTGTTGTTTACATAGACATTTCAAGTAACTTTGAATATCGTTTTCGAAGACCATAATGTTCAGTTTCAGCAATAATTTACCTGAATATGAATTAAATTACATATAATCGAATATAAATCATTTTGTCAATATATTTAAGAACAATGAAAAAATGGCGAATCGATGAGCATTAGATAACCTGACTTATTCTTTTGCATACATTCCATTTGAAAAGAATAATATTTTTTTGAATTCGGATACAATGCGTAGGCGTAGGATATAAATGATTTTCGATGAATAAAGAATAACATTTTCCACTAATGAAAGAAATAATTACAAATGTACTTTTCAAAGTGCTTTATTAAAAAGAAAGGTCAAGGCGAAATATAAATTTTATGTGAATAGAAAAAAAAGACACTATCTATTATTCCTTTTAGTGATTAAATGCAGCTGAGACATATTAATTGTTACATGAGAAAGTATACTTATTTTTTTGGCCTTGGTAACGAAAATCAAGCTCGCCTATAAATTGAGCCGCATTTTATCTGCATCTACACACACTCTCTCATTTCAATTCCTTTGTCGTTTACAGAAATGCAAACGTCAATCAAAATATGGCTTTATGCAATTGCTTTTGTGGAACTGCTGATAGTCTCATTATCTGGTAAGTCTTACATTCAAATCTTTTACAGTAAATCTACCTCGAACAGATATGTTTTTCGTTTTCAAATAAAAAGAAAGTGGCTCTACTATTCATTTTTGAATGTTTACAAGTCACGCATCAATTATCATCTTGACGATACCATTGAATCTATTTGCCCATTCCTTTCGTATCCATGCTATATGGCTGTGACAAGACTAATCTTCTCATCTCCATCGAGATAGAAACATTCTTTTGAAGAATGTCAGTTATTGTTCTTCTAGAATGAAAGCAACCCCTCTAGATTGTATACTACTGAATGGAGCATGTCGGCTTTATTCGATGATAATCGTAAGCAACATAGTAAAGATACTAGGGTCTCGAGTTTGTCGTTGTTAGAAAAATTTGGATATTGGTGAAAATAAACAGAATTATTTTCTGTCATAAAACCAACAGACATCAACTGTGAATTCTAATTATTGTTCACCACCAAGCAAGGGAAAGTTGATATAAATCATTGCCAAAGACTCATAAGTATTGCGTCTCCATCAAAATAATCAATTGCAATTTCAAATGGAAGAAAAAACTTATCAATATAGCTGTATTGGAGCTGAAATATGGAGCTCATAGGTATTCTTTACATTCATTGAGCTAATTTCGAATAGCTTAAGTAAAAATTCTTCCTTGAAAGTCTTGCTGATTTTTGTGATTTATAATGAACTACCCTTAAGTTTTATTTTTTTTAGTACTCTCTGATGGATACAAGAAGACAGTAGCGTAATTATAAGTGTGTGAGAGAGAGAGAGAATGTAACAGTAAAAGTTTCGCTGTTAAATTATCATGCTTCATAATTTTCGAAAGCATATGTGTGTGCTACACACATCAAATATGCACAATAAGATTCTTTGCGAACATACTAATTCTCTGTGTATGCCCCTCAATTCAAGTTAACTCTGACTACTTCCGGACTGTGTTCTCCTACTAGCTACTTCTAATCACCTGTTTACACGAATTATTCTAAAGTAATAAATAATCCTTTTATTTCCAATAACCCGCCAGATTATATAACACAAAGAGATAAATAAGGAGATACATAGCAGAAAACAGTATTGAGAGAGAAGGAGATACAGAGGGATAAAAAATATGTAGGGGGAAAAGATACAGAGAGAGATTGCATATTGTTCAGTGCCCGATTATCCGTTATCATATACAAGCATGTTCATTAGTGACATACACTCGATTACGTCACCGCCCTCGGTTCCATCGCTCAGTCACCCATAAGAAGACGTTCCGCGATTTCTCCGACCTTCTATTTAATCTAGCTCTACATCAGGGACCAAATTCTTGGGACATGGATGGCTTGTTTACGCACGTCCGTTCCTGTTCCCACCCGCCATTTCCCTCATCCCATAGTAGACACATGTTCCTTGTCACAACCTACACCATTTACAAGAAGAATGAATCACCGAATGATTCTAGCTCACATTATCCATTCTTTTAAACTATATACTGCCATAGAATGACGAATTGCCCCGTTTCAGTCAACCCAGATCATCTTCATTCAAACAACTACTTGCTGAAACTCTTCTTCCAATGATCAGAACACAGAACACATTCATCAAAGCTAGCAAATTGTTTTTTCTTCCCATTATACTATTTTAACAGACAGAACTTTCCATGTTTTCGAACGAAACCCTTTCCTTTTGCAGAGGCTTCAATTTCTCATCATTCATATCAAATATTATTGTAGCTCAAGATGCTTCCAGCTGTACAGACCGTCCTAGCGCACCAAAATCTGGCAAATTCCAAGTCAACACCCATGTTCACTCCAATAAGCGATCCATTAGCATACCAGAACCAACCGTTGTTAATTCGATTGGCGATTATGCGCTTGGTGGTGAAGGAATTATTCATGTCGCCTCGTACAATTGCGACAGTAATCCTAAGAATGTAGTGTCGGGTTACTGCGTTTTGACCATTCCAGATGCATTGATCCAATGCAATAGCGACCCGAATTGTGGAGGCATCGAAGTAACGACTAATGTGGGCTGGCATAACGCATACGATGTAAATGGTCAAACAGTTGTGCAACTGTTTGCAGTAGGCTCTGCTACAAATCCAAATGCTGAATGGAACTACTTTAATAAAAACCAAGAAATCGTTGTCGAGTCGATTGAAGATGATGCGTGTTAGTGGCGAAGGACTAATTCATGCCGCATTCTACAATTGCAACAGTAATTCCACAACCGTGGGTTTTTAATTTGGTGGTGGTGGTGGTGTGGGTGTTGGTTAATCAGTAAGAAAACAGATCAACCTATTGTGGAACGAAAGGAGAAATCAACCCAGTGGTGTTAACTCTGCCGTTCCAACAGTGGATTGTTGGTGGAAGACAAATTGAATTTCAATATTTTAAATAATATACTTATAGTTGGTTTGGTATTTTAAAATAAATTCAATGTATTATTTTGCTGGCATTTTGTGCATTATTGTATTTAGATAATAATGAAACATTCTCTAGGGCTCCACAGATTAGAATATGTCAGTGAAACGAGTGAAAATAGAAATATAAAGGAACAACTTTCAAAGCAAATCTTCAAAATAGTCCCTCCAAAATTAAAGCTTAGAAGCGAATACTGGATGAAGTAGCTTCGCACGAAGCAGATGTAGAGCAATGATCGATTTCTTTGATTGTTAGGTACGAAGCTGAACTTTACGACCGACTCTGGTGATATTCGATAAAGTGTTTTGATGTATATGTATGTCAAATTGAACTATAAATATTCCTCGTATTCGTCGAAATTTTACTTGGGGCATTACAAAAGTTTTTCAGGCCGGGTCTTCTGGAAGTCGTAATTTGAGGACATGTATTCCATTAGAATGACTAAACGTATTTAGGATTATGTGCAAAATTTCAGACTTCCAAGGATTACCGATCGTTGCATTTTTTCATTTCGTTCTAATCACCCTCACATGATTTTCGATATGAGTTTTCAACTCTCACGTGAACAATTTGGCACTATGATTTAATATGACTGGAAAAACTTGTTTATCCAAATCCTCCATATTCTTCAGATCTAAATCTCTGCGACTTCCTCTTATTCCCATAGGTCAAAAATCAACTCCGTGGAATTCGGTTCGACGAAGACAACGCAATGTTAACAGCTTTAGAACAAGTCCTTGACAGTCTCACAAAAGAAGACTTCCAAAACTGTTTCGGAGACTGGTTTATTCGAATGCACAAGTGCATTGATGATGAAGGACAGTGCTTTCAAAAAATACATTAGAACCACCCAGGTCAAATACGTACGGCGGGAAACTGTCTGATCCGGTGATTTTCCATCGAATTCCGGCAGCAGTATTCCAAAAAGTTTTCCAGTCTCCGTTTCCAGAGTACTTCCCGCTAATTCCTGGCTCTGGAAGCCATAAGCGGATACGGCTTCCGTTTAGAACAGGATCCCTGACTACTTTTCCGATCGTTTCCTTTTAACGATCGGTAACGAAGAAACATGAATAGTTTCCGATCTAGATACGTAGCCAGGATATGACCGTTTTAAATCCGGGTATGGAATCCGGATTGCACCGTCCAACCAATCGGATTCGGCGATTAGGAATTCTTCGATACTTCCTCTTTCTAATTGAAAAGAAGTTGTGAATTTCAACGATAAGTAAATATTTCTTATTGAAAGTAGAAATCTGCAGAATCACTGTTTAGAGTTGGATTGAAACTGACTTTTCAAAAAGCATCACTGAACGTCGACGAAGCAACATATTTAGATTGAAATCAATAAATTAATGAATTTAACTGGATCTTATTGCCGATTCTATCACATAAAATCTTTACTATACATTGCTAATCTAACTAAGTTTCCTTAATTTGATATACTTAATGTATTAACAATTACTTTTGACATAAACCCCATTAAAATTGGATTAAAACCATGGAATGCGAATAGGATGATCACAGTTTAATTGGTCATATTTTCGTATGTGTTTACTCTATATGATACTAGAATGGCTAACATAGGAGTTAAAATTAAATTTTTATTTTCTCACTTTATGTGTGTAGCATTTGAGTCTTTTTAAACAATAGCTATCAGCAATTTATAAAACCTAGAGTGAATGACAGCATTCTTTTACATCGAAATAATTGTTCATATCTTTGATATTTGTGGTCTAAATTGATAACAGTTGATAATAGTTTGAGGTAGGTCATTATCTTATGTAGCTATATGTAGAAGCACAAAACATGCATAGAAATAGATTAAAAAAATACTTCTGATTAATTATTGTTCAAAAAGAATCTATAATAATAAGTAAAAAATCTAAAAAGGAAATAATTTCGTGCATCAACACCATTAAATTGGATCACAACCTATGCAGAAACTTTAAAATAAGCATCAAGCGTAATGGATTATTTTGTGTGTTAATGTTTTGGAGCTCGGAACCAACCTGTGTTGATCTGAATCATTTGTAATCAGTTTTGTATTAATAATGATTCCATCATGATTCAAGTACATCAAAGTTATCGATTGGTAGAGTTTGCGTTGTTCTATTGTTTTTTTAATGATATGTTTCAAACGCTACGAACACCTTCATTTTACTATTGCTCGAGTACTCATCAACTTTATCGTAATTTTTGTCTAATATTTTCAACTTTTGAAAGAAAAACAAAATACTCATCGGAAGAGTGGCCAATTAAAATAGAACGAACTGATAAGATAGTCAGATCGTATGACGATAGATTTTCAGCTGCATTGAGATTTAGATTGATTTTAACCTATCTTTTACAAAAAAATCGACTGATGTGATATAATCTTTAATAGACTTCGAATTCAAAAAAGAACAATATTAACAATGTAATCAATGTAATCGATTTGTAATTCATTAAAACCAATCGTGATCTTTTCTACTCCTCACTGTACTCAATGCATAATGTCTGTCAGATATATGAATTTCATTTTATTTCGAAAAGAACAAACACATATAGTTCTACTTCCATTTTAAGATGATCTGACAGCAGATATCAATAAATGATAAACTGTTTTGTCGTTTCCTATGATACATCACAGTATCATTAGACGACATTTCTATGACAGCGATAGGGGTAACTACAATCTCTTTTGCCACATAATTCCAAATCTAGAACTACGAAAAAGTATTTCAACGTCTAAATAGTATAGAATGTGAATTTTGTGATACTTTTTTAAGAAGTAGAGAAGGACTGATAGATCCCTTTTCTGAAGGATCTCTGTAAATACGTTCTTACGTCTATATCCAATCTGACTGATTTGTAACATTTTACACATTTCCACAGCTTTCTAAGGATTTCTATATACATTGAAAAATATTGGGAAGCATTAGAAATTTTCTCGAAACACAAGAATTCGGAAATACAGTTACTTTTTGTTCCCTTTTGGTTCTCACCTGCGTACACTTGATGCTGGTGCACATTAAAGAGCCATGGAAAATCACAATGTAACTAACGAGGGAACCGCCCGAAGTGATTCCTCGCTTTTGAGCTCATATGTATGGGACATGTAGAGAACCTCTAGGCTAGAAAAAATCCCAAAGGATTTGAGCCCATGGCCACTCTATCACGAGATATTGAATTTTGAAGTTTCTAACGGTATAACGATTTTAGTCGTATACCACCACAATATATCAAAAATGAACGTAATATAAGCTTAAATATTTTTCAATATATAGATATATATAGACGTATATATATATGATAATTAGTATATTATTTTGCAGCCTGTCATCCTTAAATTTGTCTAAATATTTTCTGCTATTTATTTGAAATACATGAACATTAGTAACTGTTTCTGTTTAATGATGTTAGTTTAAAAGTGGGTATTTTATATATTTTATCATGTTCTACTATAATATATTAAAGAGAGTAAACAACTATTGACCATAGTACGAAATTGCTAGCTGAATACGCGATTCTACTGATTATATATTATATACATTTTTCATTTTTCATTCAACTGCTTAATCATAATCATGATTAGTCCTATAAAAATTGCACAACTGTTAGTGAATCGAATGACTCAAAATGAGGACTCACATCGTTGCGAAACAAGATCATATTCACGTGAGCAAGAATTAATCGATTCTCTACTGAAGATGATCAATGATGTTTGTAATTGCACATCGTATCGAATTGAATCGCACACCACTCTCGATTATGATGATGATGAAGAATTTGGTGATTTCGAAGATGATTATACCGATTCTGCTGATTAAGGTGTTGATACTGGTTTTGATGATTCAACAGAGGGTGAGAATCTGATGATTCAAGCGAATTTTAACCTCGAATATATGAGAGAAGTGGTCGACTATTTTGACGCACGTGATTCAAAAGGAAGAAAAAAGTACTCATGGAAATCTACTCAACATCGGTTCAAATCTATTCCTCACAGACAGTATCTTCCTCGGTGTCGTCAATGTATTGAAAAAAATGGTACTAAACGAGAGAAGTTTCAGGTCATCGATGATTCTGTATATGGCATGTTTCAAGAAGCACGAGAAAATGTCTTACCGGTTCGCGATAAAGATTTACAACGATGGGCGTTACAAAAAGCTGCTGAAAATTCGAGTCTTATATTTGAAGCATCCGAACACTGGTTGAGAGTTTTCAAACATCGTCATCATATTTTTTCTAGAAAAATTACAAAATTAGTAACTCGCCATCATGCAGAAGATACTAATGCTATTATTGAATCAGCAGACTCTTTTGTACGTGACGCTAAAAGAGAAATGCAGAATTATGCACCTGAAGAAGTATTAAAAACCGATCAGGTTGGACTGGAATTGGAGCTTCATTTCAACAGAACCCTTTCGTACGAGAGAGAAAAGGTTACTATGGCACGTGTTAGATCAAAAAAATGCTACGACACATTCTTACACAATTCAACCAATGATATCTGCTGCTGGAAAATTGGTTGGTCCCTTGTTTCTTTGCTTGAAAGAGCCAAAGGGGAAAATGAGTGAAAGTGAGTGAATCTATTATTTATCACAGATATAGTACACTAATTCACATTTTATTAGATATAAAAAGAAAACTATTTCCTGCTTTAAATATCGTTGTAACATGCAGCTCTTCAGGAAAACTTACTACTTCATTAGTTGAATATTGAAGAGATCATGTACTTCGTATATCGGTACCAGCGCAATTTCTTCTACTCTCAGACTATTGGCCTGGTCAAAGGAATACAGAAATATATTCTACTGTTAGAAGATGCAAGAGACTAGAAATCCCGGCTCAAACAACATCGTGTATTCAACCTCTGGATGGTTTTTTTAACAGGCAGTGGAAATTAATTGCCCGACGTATGTTTGATCATGTTCAACTCAATGATATTGTGATTAACTTGTCTGAACGAAATAATATCATTCGTATGAACTCTCTTATTCACAATCAATTATCCTCACCTTTGTTTGTGCCTATGATAAAGTACTCATGGTTTGCATCAGGATATACCGACCAACATCCGGGGCCCTTTCAAACGGTTAATGATATTTGCTTTCATATCGGCAACAACTTTTGTCAATAGCTGAACTGTGCATGTAACTTACTTTCGTTTATTCAATGCATTTGCTGTCGTAGATTTCTCTGTTTTGAGCATTTTTTTGAAGCCTATCATTTTCATAATTCAGTGTTTAGCTTCTTTCTGTTATATTCAATAATTTTGAATATAACTCATAGCGCAAAAAAAACTAATAGCACACGGCTATGTTTCATGAAAAGGCTAATGAACATCCCATAAAAGAAAACTCTCTCAAAAATATTGAAGCATATATTACGTTCATTTTTGATATATTGTGGTGGTATACGACTAAAATCGTTATACCGTTAGAAACTTCAAAATTCAATATCTCATGATAGAATGGCCATGGCCCCAAATCCTTTGGGATTTTTTCTAGCCTAGAGGTTCTCTACATGTCCCATACATATGAGCTCAAAAGCGAGGAATCACTTCGGGCGGTTCCCTCGTAAGTGACCTAATGTTTCTTGACTGAAATATTTCTTTCTATATATTCAAGCAATATGTTACCGAAAGTGAATTATCACTTAGGAAGTCTCTTAAGGCTATAACGAACTCGAAGCTCTCCAGATGTCTTTGCAGTGATAATGAAGACTTTCAAGAAGTTTTACCAGTATTCGAAAGACTTTTCAGAATTGTGTAAAATTTTTGTATCCTTTTTTCAAGACTTTTTATGATTTCTTTATATATCGTGATATTTCTACCTTTCGCTAACAGAAAGTATCAAAAAACAGCTAGGCTAATCAGATTACATAACGCGGACTATTCAGAAATAGATGCCATTGGTCCTATAAATTGAACAGTACACATCAACATAGCTAGTTTATTCTAGTCGTAACACTTTTAGTAGTAATATGGAATAGAAAATCAACTAACATCACAATAAAAGTTCAACTAGCAGTAGTTATGTGTCCAGTCCATCATCATTATGGTATAAACCATTGGCAATCAAGGGGGTAAGTGCTGACACCCAGGCACCTCAACACCTGCTCAGTATCTCAACACCTACTCAGCACCTCAGTACCTGCCCAGCACCTACTCGGCACTTGTGAGTGCTGTGAAGATTAGGAAATTAGAACATAAATATTAATTGAGAAGTTGCTTAGCAATAGGGTAACAGTATTCAGATTTTGTGCTTTTGCCATAGAAAAATACTGATTTATGATAGAAAATACCATAGCACTTTTCCAATACCATTTCAACACTCTTTGGTCCTTAAATTATATTCAATGATGTGCAAAAGGTTCACAAAAGATCGCTTTATTTTCAATGATATCGAAGAAACTCTGCTTCTCTGACAACCACTACATGAAAATATTAAAATTTCATAAAGCAAATCTCAAAAATCTATATGGACAATACGTGTGGTTTCTACTACGTTGCAGAAGAAGAGAATTCTGTTCCAATATTCTGGAAGAAGGTTTTTCATTTCTCTTCACTGTCTAGTTAGACGTATCGTCATCGAAAATGGCCTAAGATAACAATTAAAACATTTTGTGACCTATAAAATGTGGAGAACCACATCATTTGTTAGAAACACCACACATGCAAAGGGTATCCCATAATGACTGATAATAAATTGTTAACGGTACTTTTCAGAGTATTTCTTGAAGTAGATGGCTGAAATTTTTATCACATACATATTAAATAACGATTTTTTATTTCTGAAAGTTTCAGCTCTCGAGCTTAAACTACTGGTAAAAGATCGATTTTTGAACTCGATTTTTGAAATAATTTCATAATAACAATATGCAAAATTCCAGTACAAAAATTTATGTATTTCACTCTTGTCGATGTATTCCACCAGTAGGTTTAGTTAGAGAGCTAAAACTTTCAAAAATAAAATATCTTTATTAGATATATGTGAGATAAAAATTTTAGCCGTCTATGTCAAGAAAAGGTATGAAAAATATCATTAATCATTTATTAACAGTTATTATGAGATACGCTTATATGTATGGGAGATGTTCCTAAAAAAATTATATGTTTCTCCATATTTTATATGTTCCAAAAAGGTTTTAACTGTTACCGTAGACCGTTTTTGGCAACGATACCCATAACTAGACAATTAAAATTAAAATTAAAAAATAGTTTTTCCACAAAAGTTGTATAAACCCCACGGAGCCACCCACATATGTAGACAAATGTTTGTTTGTCTGTTCATTACGCATTTGGACACCGTACGAGCAAATGCAACCAAGCGTTCCAGGAATGCTTCTCTCATCCAGAAAAAGTTCAACAACTATTTTTTTCCAAAAAGATTCGTTCCTTCACCCACAAAAAACATGCATATGTGACTGACCAATCAGATTTCAGCCTTCGGTAGTATAAAAGTACTATTGAGCAACACTTTGCGAGCACACAGAAAGCATGGCACCAGAGATTTTTGAGGGGATGAGGTGGAATCTGGTGCCCAATTACTTCGATAACTTCATGATTAGTTCAAAATCAATAGAGACGGCGTTTTTGAGTAAACGAGTCACTCAATGATCGTAAGATAGGTATTATGAATCGGAAATCTATCGAGCATAATACCTTACTAGACGATCAGTTGCTTAATTAGGTGGACCATGTCAAATGCACATAGAGTTTTGGAGAAACTGATTCTTTGGAAATCATCTGCGATGGGAATTTCGAATAAGTGGTCTGTCTTTCTTTGCAACCAATCAAATTTCAGTGTGTTCTCAGCAGCACAAAGTACGATGTACTGTCATAACTCTGGTAATCAATAGATATTCTAAACCTGAAGTTCTAGAGCAAGTAGATGTGTGGTTGTGTTGAGTTTTGATAGAAGCGGGTTTTTCTTGCATGGCTGTAAGAAAATTGAATTCTCAAATGGGTTTCCTCTAAATATAGAATCAAACAGCTACGGAATCGGGACCGAACCGTGACCAAGTGAGACGGGAGCCGGTCGGGATCGGAACCGATTGGCATAAGTATGTGCTTCGAGATGTACTTGGAAATATATAGAAGGTTCATAAAATTTATATGTGCCACTAAGATCTTCTTGATCTATATGAATAACGACGAAGAATTCCTTACATCGAAGTCGTCTTTCAATGTCATATTACTCTATATTCGTTGTGAACGAGATCAGGTGGGATCGAGACTTAGAATATGTCTTGAGGGTGTGTGGGTGTGGGTGTGTGAGTGTGGGTACGGGTATGCATGTGCCGAGTCAGACAAGCAACGAAAAATAACACGTAAAAAGGAATAAAAACCGCACATTTTTGCGATTTTATTTCGTTAACAATTCTGCGCATTTTTACGTGTTATTTTGTTGGAATAAGTGACTTGATAGAAGAAAAACAGCTACAATTCCTACACTCATTTTGCTTAAAACTCTATAGATACTTCATAAGCAATGTAAGTGCGCGGATTATAGCTGTTTTTCCTCTATCAAATCACTTATTTCAACAAAATAACGCGTAAAAATGCGTAGAATTTTTAACGAAAACGAAATCGCAAAAATGTGCGGTTTTTATTCGTTTTTACGCGTTATTTTTCATTGCTTGTCTGACTGGGTAGAGCTTGAAAAGCTGATGAAGAATATATACTTTTTATTTCGATTTAGTTACTGTTTGCCTGAGAAAATCTTACAAGACTGGAACGACTGAAAAAATGCTGGTGTTATGTTAAATTTTGTTTTTAATAGAAATTGCCAAATGTTTATTTCAGTTTTTCCCTGAACATTTTAAAAGTACTATATTCTGAATCAGCATGAAAAACTAAATAGGAAAATGTTATTTGGTTAGATGTAGACCTACGAAAGAAAACAATTTCTTACCTCATATCAGTAGCTTGATCAGACGCAAAGTATGTGTCAGTGAACGTTCTTGTAAATATATCTAGTTTTTTGTAATAGTGATAGAAACAATTGTTTCATCTCATTAGAATCGCCAAATTATGGGATACAAAAGTTTTTATTTTATTGTTGAGAAATTTGAATTTTTTCCATGTTGGGTGATAGTATGTAGCAAAAAGACGAAAAATGTGCATTTATTGACCAGTTTGCATAACAATAACTAAGTCCAAAGATAAAACCAATAGCATATTCGAAATCAGCGTTAAAACCTACACCAACTCATATATATTTGATTGAATTTTATTTTCTAAGAACAATTCATCTCTGGGGGGACTAGGAGAAAAATTTTAGAAAATTATACCTGAGGGGACCACAGGCTTTTTCCTGTCAGAAATATTTTTGTATCAAACACATATGAGCCGGTGTAGATCTTAACGCTGATTTCGAATATGCTATTGGTTTTGCCTTTTCCCTTAGTTATTGTTATGAAAACTGCTCAATAAATGGACATTTTTCATCTTTTTGCTACATAATTACTATCACCCAACATGGAAAAAATTCAAATTTCTCAACAATAAAACAAAATTTAAAAAAACAACATAAAAACATTTGTAGCCCACGATTTGGCGATTCTAATGTGATAAGACAATTGTTTCTACCACTTCTTACAAAAAAGCTAGATATATTTACAAGAACGTTCACTGACACATACTTTGCGTCTGATCAAGCTACTGATATGAGGTAAGAAATTGTTTTCTTTCGTAGGTCTACATCTAACCAAATAACATTTTCCTATTTAGTTTTTCATGCTGATTCAGAATATAGTACTTTTAAAATGTTCAGAAAAGAACTGAAATAAACATTTGGCAGTTTTTGTCAAAAATAAAAATTTAACATAACACCCCCATGTCGCACAAACCGATCGAAAACCGTCGGTTAACCGCGGTTAACCTCCCAGCTAACCGGAAAAATAACCGCCAGCTCGCGACTTAACCGATGACTTGTCCGGTTAACCGTTGGTTTTTACGCTGTAAAATCGCTAAAATGGCTTAAATAGCCGCGGTTAACCGACGGTTTTCGATCGGTTTGTGCGACATGGGCCAGCATTTTTTCAGTCGTTCCGGTCTTGTAAGATTTTCTCAGCCAAACAGTAACTAAATCGAAATAAAAAGTATATATTCTTCATCAGCTTTTCAAGTTCTATCAAACCATATATAAATAAACGAGAAACAAAATTTACTTCAATTCTGCTTTAGTGGCACCTTATATTGCTGTATAAAATTATATCAATATGTAGGAAAAACCTTGAATTAATCGACGTGCCTTCCGATTTATTTCATATTTATTCTTTTTTACTATCATTCGGTCATGATTTTTTCGTTCTTATCGGTTGTACTTTGAGATAAATAAAGATATCATATCTATTTTTTATTCATGTGCTGTATGACCAATACTAATTAGTCACTCAATATAAAGCTGAATCAACATGTAAATATAGAAGTCATTTTTCCATGTGATAAAATAGATGTGTTAACAATGAATCTTATGTTTTGTTATCAATGTACAATAGATAATCCCTGTCACGTTCATAAAGCCAGTTATAAAATATAGCATCACTAGAGAAAACATCTTCAAAGACGATAGAGTGTAGTCTTGATACTATGAATTAAACACTGAGATTGATAATGGTATCTAACGCGAAGAGCTACTTGAGAAATATTATTCAAAGAGCCAATTATACTGAATTCTGACTGACTAATTGCGAGATTAGGTTAAACGAGAACTTAATCAGTTGCATGATAGAAAGCATTGGGAGATAAAGAACGGATTGATTTAATGCCATTTTAAAATCTAATAAATGACATAAAAATGATGGCATAACTTCGACTTTCAAATAATAGTATGTAAAAAAATGCATTTGCCATAATTCGAATATTAATGCCAATATATTAATATTTATTATTGAATACACATTGTCATTCTTCCAGCTTTCCTAATACCAACTGTATAGTGATTCTCTGTGTTAATTCTACGTAGTAAGAATCTTCCTCTTTCATAAAATTGGCAAAAGTAATAATTTATTTCAAATCAAAACAAGAGTAGTATGCAATAGAAAATCTAAGATTACTTTTTCTAATTACTTTTTATCTTAAATAGCTTAACTGAAAAATATGCATACAAACATATATATTTGTTTATCTAACAACTTGTTTTATATTTTCATTGATACTGTTGTTGTGCGAAATAATTCCTTCGTGCAGAATACATTGACGGTTGTGCAGAATATGGTTGTGGCTGTGCGGAGTACACAGGTAATGTCGGTGCAAAATATACTTGTGGCTGAGCGGAGTATACAGATGGAGGTGGTACAGAATATGCTTGTGATTGTGCAGAATTATTAACTAAATTTGAAAATAATCTTTTTGTACTATCATCGTAATATGCATATTGATCATTATCGAATTCTCCGTCTTGAAATACTTGTTGAATAAGATTGTACAGCTCATCAAGTAAATGTTGAACAGTTTCATCGAACGCCTGTTGTCTAGATGGTGTCCATTCAAATGATCGAAAATTATCGCCTGAATGATGACCCATTCTTAATAGATTCGGTAGTGCTGAATAATATGATTTTTCTTGTGGCTGTCGTCGTTTATTAAATACTTGTTCTATTTCACCTAATTTTAAAAGATATTGTTTTTTAGCTGATTGAGATAATGTTTCAACATCAGAATGTGCAGCCATAGGCATGGATAACCATGCATTATTCATATAAAGTGTTACGAGTACAATTTCAAGTAATTTTTGTTCAGTTGGATGTATAGGTAATGTATGTTGAGATGACATTGGTGTCCATCTCATACCATTAGTAAATTGTCCACTACCGCTAAATGTAAATACCAAACCAACAAGATTAATACGATGTGTACCAAATAATGTTCTTATTAAATCCCGATATATGTCGATATCATCTTGTCCACTAAGTGCATGATGAACTTGATGTATAAGTATGTCACCTGTTTTAACACGTAACATAGCATCATTCAGTATAAAATCTGTTTGACCATCAACAGAATAAATCATCAGACCAGCATGCATGGCAGATGATTTATATTTATGTGACATTGGTAAAATTCGTACTTGTTCAATATCCAGAATAGGTTGCTCAGAAAATTTGTTATCGTCAGGTTCAACCATTGCAAAATTGAGTCCTAATAATTTAGATCAGTGTAAAAATATTCATTTATTTCACAAAAAAAAACTCTTTACTTATTGTTTAGAAGGCATCCTTTTCTGTATCCAGAGGTCATCTGTACGAAAAGTTTGACTATTCAAATCTGATCACTGCTAAGTTTTCATATCCGATGGGTATTGCCTCACAAACCTCTCTCTCTGTCCCTCACACAATCATAAGTGAACTGAAATTAATTTTCATTTAAGAAAAATTTCTACACACCTTCTGTCACAATCGTTGAATACATTTTGTATGTATTATGGTCAGTAAGTGCCTTTTCCAGTCGTACCATATTATCCCATAGACGTAGCAACATTTTTTTGTTTATGTTTTCTTTATTTTATTCAAGAAAAAAAATATCGCACTGTGAAAATTAATCAAGTATAATGAATGTTTCGCGATGCTTGTTATTCTGTTGTTTCTTGCAATTTTTTTTCTTATTCATCCGTGACAATGACAACATTCATACGTAAATAGACATGCAATTATTTGCCGATTTATATGCGAGAAGAAAATTAGACGAGATACCCAACAAAATTACAAAAAATGAGACGAAAAAAAAAGACTAAGTAGAGTTGAGTACAACATGAAAATTGTCACGTCGAAGAAAATAAAAATTGATCGTTCTTTTTTTTGTTTATTTGTGAGACAATTTCGTCATATTGAATATTTAATTATGTATATATATTTATGTGTGTGTTTCGAGAGAAAAAAGAACAAAATAAGCTGTGTTTATTTTAAATAATAATAATGAAGAAGAATAAAATAGTTGGTATCATAACACACATACAATAGTTATAGTAAATATGATTGCGATGCCTCTAAGCAAAAATAAAAAGTAGACGAAAAAAATAAAATAGATTGATATATATATATATAATACTAACCTATCTGAATATCACTTTTTCAATGTGAGAACCAAAACAAGAATAATAATAGCAATAACAATAAGTAAAACAGAAACCAATATGATCTTTTTACGTCGTGCAGAACTCTTGAATTTTTAAAAGAAAGAATAAATCAATATAAATATGAAATAAATTTTTCAAAAGCAAAAATGGAATAAAAGATAAACCTGATAAGTAACAGCTTTTGTTAAATGTTGATTGCCGTGTGTTACATTCATTTCAGTATTGATTATATGTTCATCAATAGAGTCTAGAAATAAGTAGCGACGCTTTAGTTTACATGCATCATTAATTGTTTTTTTTTATTATAGAATTCCTTGAGAAAATAGACCCTGAAAAATTAGTAAAATTCATTTGTTTCTGATGAGAAAATTTAGCAATTAGTAGCACAGATATTAAATAAAAATTAAAAGAACCTGAGTTCGCTCAGCTTGTACAAGACTTCGAGTAGCCTGTTGCGTTTGTTCAGCAGTTACTTCAACGTGGTTTTGAATCGAGTCTTAATATTTATATATTTTTTCTTTTTATTACTCAGTTCTTGTCGTATCTATTATGCATATTATCTAATGAATCTACTTACCAATAACAGTGCCTTGTTCATGGACAAGTTTAGCCACATCTTTAAACAGTTCATTGACTTCAACAATGTTGGTCTAAATAAATAAAAGTATTTTTTTAGAGAGAGACAAACAAGCTTGGCTCATCTGTCCACAATGGTGCAATAGGATGATTGACTATTTTTTAATTAGATCTCTTACAGAAATACTCATCACAACTCGAAATTTACTCATATACATTTATGCTAAATAATAACGATAATGTAATACTTTAACCCCTGCTTATCAGCTGAAAAGAATTTGATCTTAATACAACATCAGAGAAAAAAGCCATTAGAAATTTAAAAGAAAAAAAATTTATTATTATTTCAAGTTCTGTTACTAGTTTCATTGAACAATAACAATAATCCTCTTATTTATAGCATCGTTTTGAATCATTATGAAGTATTGAAATTTATTTTACCTCAAGTTCCCGTAACTGCTCATCGCGTTCTCGTAATGATCTCATATCAACTTCTTGTTCCATAGGTAAAACAACTTGTTTTTGAAGTTGATCTTGCGTAGGTGCTGATACAAAATCATCAGCGAATGGTGAATCCGAGATGCCTTGTTGACGGAATGAAATAGCTCGTGCACGATCAAGACTTTCTTTTTCTTTTCGTGCACCTATACGTTGTGCTTCTTGAAAACGATTTAATGTTGATAAATATTGTTTTGGTAAATTTTCAGTTAAAGTTTTTTTCCGTCTCTGAAAATATAATTTATAAAAAAGCAAAATATTCATCCTATGAACTTTATCTAACCTGATCAGCTTCAGTTAGTACTCGAGTGTTATTGAGTTCTTGAAGTGCACTATTTGTTTGCTGCATTAAAACTTTGGTTTCATTTTGAAGACGATGGCTAATAAAAAAAAGCATTAAATTGACAAAATTATGACTATTTTTGACTTACTAGCGTTCCCGTAATGGTTCACTATCTTCTGGTGTACCAAATTTTTGAACGAGTCTTTCAAGATCCGTAACTAGAAAATAAAAAGACGATAAATAATCTAGACAATCGATTCAACAAACCATTATTCGAAATTTTCGTTTGATTATTAGAAAGAGCATTGTATAAACGTTGAAAATCGCTTGCGCTGGTCACTAAATGAAGCAAACAAAGTAATTACTAACAAAAGAAAAAAGAATACAATCATTTATTTACTTCTAGTAGACCACGTATCAATACAATCGTCGATCTAGAATAGAGAACGAAATTTACTGAAAAGTATGAGTAATTCATTTTGTATTAACTAGCTGATCTTTTTTATAGGGTTTTAGTGTCTAACTTGATGGCAATTAAAAACAAATCATAAAATAATAAAAAAAAGCAAGCAGAAAAAAATTCAAGCAGCTAAAACAAGCAGAAAATTATCATTGCTATTATGATTTATATTGTATCACACTCATAGGGTATTTTATATGCATATTCTCACTTTCAATAATTCGTCATCGGTTGAGTTGTACATAATATTTTCTCCTAAAATTTATGCAGTGAAGTTTTTGTTCTTACAAGCGCGAGTAGGTAGAACAAAAAAACAACAGAAACTTTTTGAATCATAGGAATCCCTTCAGGCATTGACTTCATTCCTTCTACCAATATGATGTAGCCTATGATTCAATAGAGATGATAAAGAAAAACAAAAATGGTTAATATTATTATTGACCAATGTGAGTCGTTAAAAAAAGTGGTCTATTTATTGTGTTGTGCTCTGTTTTTTATCAATGACTCATATCAACAATCAGTTATATAAGGGACGAGTCACAGATTAAATATTAATCATAAACATTTTTTCCAAACAAAAAACTTGAATATTAATAAACAAAAAATACCTTCTGTATCCAGATAACAATTTAACTATTACACATGTTCAGACAAAAAGTGACACCTGTCATACTTGATGGTTCGTTTCGCAGCAAAAAAACGTATTCTTGACAGAAGATGACGCTGTTGCTTTATTTTTGTAATTTGATAAGAAAAAACAAATCCATATTTTATCATCATTTAAGAACGGTTGGTTGTTTTTTTTCGTTAGAAACACAATATAAACAAAAAAAAAGCTAACCAATCAAAAACCAATAAAATAACTTTTCATATATTGATTACATATTCACAAAATATAGTTTTCTAACAAATGGATACAGGCGATCTAAATTTACCAGCATATAAATATCAACTCGAACAGGTAAAAATTGATCTAAACACTTTATATCCATAATATTTATATACATTGTCTCAAGGTGGAGTTAGCGTTAAAAGCAAAACCTGATGATCCAGAACTTCTCAAACTTAAAGAAGATCTTGAAGAAGTTATTAATTTAACCGCTGATTTACTTGGTTGTGATCCATCAACATTAAATTCTAATGAGCCAACAGCGTCATCATTCTTGAATGAAGCAGCACAGAATTCTGCTTCGTCACAAGCAACGTCATCATCGACTCGTACAGCTATTAAATGGAAAACAGGTGATCGTTGTTTAGCACCATGGAATGACGATGGAAAGTAAGTTAATTGAATGAGGAGTACTTAAACTTTATTCCATGTAATTCTTATGTAAAAGATCTCAATAGAATTTCTAATCGATTCTGTTAAAAAGGTCAACAAAGTGAAGACTTCAGATAAGAATTTAGTAGAAGATTAATTGTTTAGAAAATGTTCACATTTTAAATGCGATATTACTTGATTTTTTCGAATCGTACTTGTAGATCATCGTTGAAAATCAACGAATAGTTAGTTCAATAACTAAGTCTTTCATGGAACATAACTTATTCAGTCTAAATTTAATGTGAACTTCAAGACGATGCTGATGATAACGGGTGATTGAAAAGTAATTTTACAAAATGCTCATTTGTTTTTCACTCTCTTAAATCGAGCCTGGAGAAAGTTTAATATTCTTTCAGGAAATGATTTTTAGAACTTCTTGTGTCAGATATATTGGAGTTACTACTTTCAATTGTAGACAAACTTTATACGGAACTGGAATGGTAAATTATTTCAAATAGTAGTTTTCTGTAAAACAGAAAATTTTCGAGATTGAAAATAGAGAGTTATGAACTTCATCTTCTAGAAAGAGACAAAAACAAAAGACAGATGAAAATTTACATTACTAACTCTCTTTGAAAAATGTTCAACTATGAAATGTATATTTTACTCTTCAGGCTCCTTTAAACGACTGAAAAATGAATGAACGCTCTATGAGAATAATTTATTGATCATTCGTTATAAGAAAATTTATCTGCGTAATTTAGATACTATGAATGTACAATTGAGGATGTACTCGATGATGGTACATGTACAATTATTTTTGATGGATTTGAATCGATGCCATTAACGGTTGTCCGAGTAAGTTAATAATATTCAGTGAAATTGAATGAATTAATCTTTTCTTCTTCTATGAAAGGTGTCAAAGTTAAGACCATTTGATCGTACACGCGCAGATTTCAATGCCATTAAATCAGTTAATAATCGATCTAAAACAAAGTATGAAATTCTCTCAGTGAAAATAATTTATTTATTATTGTCTATAGACGTGAACTGGAACAACGCTTACGTGAACTTAGACATAAGAAAAAAGAAAAGAGAGCAACAAAACTAAAAGAAGCTGAAGAAGAACGTGAAAAGGATAAAAAGCGATGGACTGATTTTAATTCAAAGGTAAATTTATGATTTCTTATTGTTCGTTTTTCTATAAATTTCTCTTTTACAGTTAACCGGTCGAACATGGAAAGGTGTTGTTTCAAAATCTATGGTTAAAACCGATAAACGTAGTGAAAATCTACGTGGTACAACCAATGGAAATTTAGTATCCAACTATAGACCAGCTAATCCAAGACCTTAACTTGATTTTACATAGTGTTTTGTTTCTTTTTCTTTGTTCTATTATCTACTCATCGAAATAAAAATAAAAATTTTCTGTTGTTCTAGATTTCCTTTTTCTTCTCCTGATTCGTGGATATTTATGTGAAAAGGAAAACAAAATAGCCTCGACTACAAATAAAGAATGCAGAGTACTCGTTTGTTGGTTACTGCGCGACACTTTTCATCAAGCTGGAAAACAAATCATTTATTAAAACGATGTATTACAATTTTGAACTCATCAAGTATTCATAGAACAAACTTGAATCTCAACAAGTATATTTTCAATAATATTAAACGGCAAAGAACTATTATTTTCATTTTTTTTCAATTGTTTTTAGCTCGTCTTTATCTCTAGTCGATTCGAATCGTTCATTATGTATGAATATAAGATTATCGAAAAATGATATAACCGCTATTGGACAATATCAATCTATTCGTTATGCTTCATCGAATAGTTTACCAGCATATAAACCAGTTGCTTTACCAGCATTATCACCTACTATGGAGTCAGGCACAATACGATCGTGGGCAAAAGCGGAGGGAGATAAAATCGTTGAAGGTAATGAAAAAGAAACACATGATTCACATCTAGCTATGCTGATTATAGTAGTTTTAAGATGTTTAACTGCAACCAAATTGCCTTTATGCTTATGCTGAGAAAAACAAGTTTTATCTTGAAAATAGATTTTTTCTTCTTTTGACAATCTAACAGTATATCGAGAGACGTTCACGTCAAATACGATAGGATAGATAGAGATTTCGTTTGATTTGTAATTGTAAAGAACAACTAGATAAATACATTATACTGAACATAGGTGTCCAAAGAAGCATTCGATACTAAAGAAGAATCATAGTCGTACAAAAAAACCGCTTTTAACTTAGACAAAACTGCTTCATGAATATATTCTTCTTATAATAATTTTGTTTATAATCAAAAAGAACTATTAATTCCTGAGCGTTGATGTTTTTTTTTTGAATAATACCAATAAGCACTCAGATTCATAGGATGACATTGATTTGTATAGAATTTCAATTCAACTAAAGGAAAATGGATTTGATTTTCTTTTTTCAGGTGATATATTGGCTGAAATTGAAACTGACAAAGCAACATTAGGATTCGAATCCAGTGAAGAAGGATATCTTGCAAAAATTCTTATACCTGGTGGTAGTAAAGATGTACCTGTTGGAAAAGTAAGGCATAATTTTATATTTTCTCTTCATATCTTAATAATTATTAATTTTATATTTAGCTGTGTGCGATTATTGTGGAAAAACAAGAAGATATAGCTGCGTTTAAAGATTATAAAGGTGACAATGGTGAAGCTCCAGTAAAAACGAAATCGACCGATGAACAAGCAGCTGCACCGAAAAAAACTGAAAAAGAACCACCAAAAAAAAGTGATTCAGCTAGTAAAACAGAACAAGAAGCAGCAGCTGGTTCTACAGCGAAAACTATTGGTGCAAATAAAGATGGTTCGGTGTTTGCATCACCTTTCGCTCGAAAACTTGCCCAAGAAAAAAGCATTAACTTACAAGTAAAAACTTCTATATGTGTTTATTTTACACTTGCTATACAATTATTTTAAATTTATATCACATAGTTAGTACAAGGTACTGGTCCGAATGGTCGAATTGTTGCTGAAGATGTTGAAAAATTCATCAAAGAAGGTGGTGCCAAAGTTGATGTCAAAAAAGAGCAAGCTAAATCAGCAGCTCCAACAAAAGTAGCTAAAAAAGAAAAGGAAGTATCAGCACGTGCAGGTGGCTATAATGAACAACAAGTATCAGAATTAAGAGCTGTAAGTAATATGGGGAGCATTATTTATGAGTTGTCCTGATTAAAAACTTGACCAAGAGATTTATTGAAAGACGAATATTTTATAAAAATGAATATCTTCTGGATTTTTATAGGAATACGCTCGTCGCATGGTTGAATCGAAAAGTACTGTACCACATTATTACTTGACCATTGAAGTTGACTTGAATGAAATTCTTAAGTATGTTCGTATGGAAATTTATATTACTCTATCGAATCGATCTGTTGTTTAGACTACGCGAAAAGCTTAATGATATGTTAGCACCGAAGTCAAAAGATGCTAAAGACAAATCACGAGGTATTACAATAAATGATTTTGTTATAAAAGCGGCTGCACTTGCGTGTAAAAAACGACCTGAAACAAATAGTGTTTGGATGGAAAAATCTATTCGACAGTAATTTTATTTTTTCTTCACATTTTTATTATTTTAAATATATATATATTAGATATGAGACTGTTGATATCAATGTAGCAATAAATACGGATGCTGGCGTTCTTGTGGCACCTATTTTATACAATGTCGAACAAAAGGTAAGATTTTATATAGTTGCGTAATACTATTTATTTATTACGATGTTATGTCGCTAGCAAAAGAAAGGCAAAATTGAAAATCGAAGTCGACAGTAGCGTAGATAGTTTACCATTGGCTGATTGTCTTCATCTATTTAAAGTAACTCCATGCGTTTCTGACTGATAAAAATCAGTTCTACGAAAATTCAGAATCCATTGGGATACATATTTAAATCAGACGAAGTCACATCATCAATAAATGAATTAGATGTCTGTATGGACTAATAAAATAATAATAATATCTACTTGATTTAGGGCCTTGCGACAATAAATCAAGAAATATCACAATTAAGTAAAAAGGCAAATGATGGCAAATTAGGCGACAATGAACTCGAAGTAAATAAAAAATTTTATATTTTCTGTAAACATTATACAATATTAATTTTAGATGGGAACATTCACAATTTCCAATTTAGGAATGTATGGTATAACAAATTTTAGTGCTGTTATTTATCCTGAACAAGTAAATTTTTAAATCCTATAAAGTTGATCTATTTCTCATTGTGGTGGTTCTCTTTCTTTAGTCTGCTCTTTTGGCTATTGGTGGTGTCGAAACTAGAATTTTACCTGCTCCAGACTCTCCAAAAGGGTGAATATTTATCTTTTTAATATCACACATCCTCAAGAGAAATCATTTGAACAGATGAATCACTTTTGAATCTAGACAATTTGAATTATGTAGATAGATATAAGAAATTATAAATATGCTGAACAGAATATTTACCGTTAGTTTATTGTAGCACAATTACTACACTTTCATGATATCTGTTCTAATGAACCAAGTCATTTCTCTCTGGAAAACTGTTCTTTGGATTTCCACTAGAAAAAATAAGTCTTAATCAGAATAGATTTTTTGTGAATACATAACATCTGGTTGCTATTTCTATTTGAAGGTGTGTGTGTGTGTGGTTACAATTTGTCTTTTATATCACTGATACAAACACCTCGAGCTTCCATGTTCTAATTCGAAGAAAAAAAAATCAAGTCAAAATATTTAGGAAACTCGTAGAAAAATACTCTCTTGAAACTAGACAAATTTTCAAATTGCATGTCAAGTAGGAGCTCTTTTTCTCGTACTCCTGAGACGAATCATGCAATAAGTTCAGTATTCATATAGCAACAAACTAATGGCAGAATATTCATAGTTTATTAGACTCTGACATAATGGATCTCGTCTAGACAAAAAAGTGTTTTATTCGTTGGAGAATTTTTCCTTGTTAATAATTATTTCTTTCTTTTTTAATAGCTTTCGTCAATCCTCTGTTCTTAATGTAACATTATCATGCGATCATCGTGTTATTGATGGTGCCGTTGGTGCACAATGGTTACAAGAATTTAAACAATTTCTTGAAAATCCTGGATCGATGATCTTATAAACATGATCATGTCAAAGTTACTTACCTATGGCCATTTATGCACTTTTTACTTACAATTATATCTAGCCTAGTTTTCTGTTATATCTCCCGTATTGTGTACGTTTATTTTAGTAAAGAATAGCATAAAGTCAAGTCTCATTGTATTTTTTTTTCTTTCAAAATAGTTTATTCTCTCAGAAGATTTCGAGTTAATTAGACAACAATTGCACAATCAGTTGCTATTGACTATAAGAATATATACTGTTTTACAGAGCATAGTCATAGCGTAAAAATTAATTCTATTCCAAAGTTTCAAATATTTTAGATTTTAAATACTATATATTGAAATGGCTGCATATAAAATATCCGGTACAGTTTATTCGAAAATTCGTCCAATATTAAGTGTATCTCGAGATGCACGATACATGGTAGCACGCAGCTATCATGAGAAAGTCATCGATCACTATGAAAACCCACGTAATGTTGGTTCATTCGATAAGTCAGATCAAAATGTTGGTACTGGTCTTGTCGGAGCACCAGCTTGTGGTGATGTTATGAAATTACAAGTTAGATCTTTCTATATGTCAATGATTTGATTGATTTCTCGTATGTTTTGAATAGATTTTAGTTGACGAGAATGGAAAAATAACTGATGCAAAATTTAAAACATTCGGTTGCGGCTCAGCTATTGCTTCGTCATCATTAGCAACAGAATGGATTAAAGGAAAAACAGTAACTGAAGCGAATACAATCAAGAATCAAGATATTGCTAAAGAACTATGTCTACCACCGGTTAAACTTCATTGCTCAAGTAATAATTAAATATAGCCTTCGACTTTTTTTCGTGCCAGCCATTTAATGGTATGATTTATTTTTTACTTAGTGCTTGCTGAAGATGCAATAAAAGCTGCAATCAATGATTATCATACGAAGAAAGATAAACAGCAAAAATCAACTTAATTGTCAATGAAAGAAAATAAAAACCAATCGGAAGAAAGAAGATTTCTTTTGATTTTGTACAGAGATTTCTTTCCATGGTTTGTTTTTTCTGCTGTTATTTAAACCAGCGATAAATTCTCTATTCACGTTTTCATCGTTTTAAAATATTTGTCTATTAAAACCCTAGATGTTGTTTAATAGACATGAATACTGTTTTTACTTCAGCGATTTCTTTTCATTTAGTAATAAACGAAACTTTTGCAGAGTATTACCTAAAATGTACTTTTAACTTTTGCTTTTTATTGGAATTGCTCAAAACTCATTATGTCTAAATCAATGCTCATAGAATATTAATTATGCAAGCGTTGAAACAAATGCAATTGAGAATTTTCTTACGGCAAGTCCTTAGATTAGTTCAGATGGAGAAAAAGTACAACATTCCATCGAACTTACTTTCATGCAATATTTATTGATAAAAACTACCGATGAAAAGGGTTTTTCTATAGAGCTCAATAATCCTAACACCAAAGAATTGCAATAGCAACCAAAGTAAACGATGAATATAACTATTTTCAATAGAAAGATAAAAAAAATTCGATATCAATATCTTTTATTCACTTTTGACGATAATTTTTAAATTTATCTTAGTAGTGGTTGTTCGAAAATAATTGGTGGATGAATGAATTTTTCAATAATTATTAATCAAAACAAGACAGAAAACTGCACATTTCATATTTATTAACAAACATTGAATCACATGTACTAAGACTTTTTGCTATATTCTTTTAGATGGCTTTCGATCAATTCTTTCCTGAATACTAGCATACTTTACGATATGATTTACCGGGCATTGATTATTATTCGGTTGCGAATAGACAGTGTCAAGTGAATATCTACAAAACACCGGAAGTCTCAAGGTTTTAGATGTAATTGCTTAGAAAATAGATGCATTGTATTGGAAACTCTCAAGAAATTTTCGAGTAACTCGAGGGAAAAAAATTCTTTTCGTGTATTTTTTTATAAGAAACTATTTTTACTCAATACTTTGTTTAGAAACTTGAGAAAAAAAATCTTGAGAAAATATCCTCAGAAAATCTGGAATACATAAGAAGACTGAAGTTCGTTTCCTGCTTTCAACAATGACAACCGCAATGCTGTATCCTGTTTTTCCGCAGCAGCTATTCAAAGACTACCCACTTACGTACCTACCTAACTTCTTATTTTGATGGGTGACAGAGCAAACCAATAATACTCTTATTGTTCTGGAGGAAATTTTCTACAGAATGGCATCTTTTTCAGAACCTTGGTTCTTCTAATGTATATTCTATGGCGGTAGTCTCGGACAAATTATTTTATTTTATTTCTCAATTCGTGCTGATTTGCGATAAATTTAAAGAATAATTATAGTTAAATTAGGAATTTAAAGTTTCAATTTACTGATCATTGACTCTATTTAGTTTGTGAATACTGAATAATTTGAATGTATCACTAGACAACAGTGAATATAAATGTCAATTCTATGTTGTTGCTTTTTTTTTTTTTATAGATATGCGTGTGGTAGAAAAACATCTTCGTGATGAAGTCACAAATCGTTGTATAGAATTTCTCGACGTTATTATTAATTATATTCTCTATATTGAACAAATTTATTCTAATGGTTTGATATTTAAAATAAAATATGTTTCGTTTGTTTACTTTTCTGTCTTTGAACATAGATATTTTTGAAAAACGTTTAAAATATAATCAAATTGTTTATGAATGTCAAGATACTGAAGTACAAAATTATACAGCCGACTTTCTTAATCAACTAAAACCGTTACTTCGTAAACAACTGATCGATCAAATAGGTTTTGTTATAACAACAAGAAATGAGAATGATATTCTTCGCCGATATTTAATTGAATTGCATCCTATCATTGATCATTCATCGAGTAAAATTCATCCGAATGGAAATCATCTGCTTGCTGAACTCGATTCAATCTTTTCGGCATGTCTTATAGAATTAATGCGTCAAATGCCGATTAGTCCAATAAACACAACAACAGAAAATGATGATGATAATGAACACGAACAAGTCCGTTGGAAATTACAAATGCGTTTATGTCGTCATGAAAATAAAAAATTTGAAGTTGACGAAACATTTTATGAGCAATTTAAATTAATTGATAATTGTTTATTATCATTAAAACAAATCAAATCTGTACATTCTGAACGACTTGATATTCAATTGATGTGTCAAAATAGAAAACAGCAAAATCAATGAGGCTTACAATTTTTGTTTTTATTTGTCATTCATGATTTTGATTCAAAAAGAAAAAAAAAGAAAATTATTTATCTGAGAAAAAATATTTTTTTGTTATTGTCAAATATGAAATTCTGTTGTTTCAATTTTAACATTCGACGATGACGATGATGATGACGATGAGTTCCATACGTCATTTGTTTCATCTTGTTGTTGTATTCGATGCAATGGAGCTATACGATCAAGATCAACTGTTAAATATCGTTTATAATCAGAAGAATTTAGTAAATCAAAACATTGTTCAGATAAACGATATTTTTCACCGATATCAAGTGTACCCAATGTTTGAACATAACGATCATAATCAACTCCGAAACGATTTAAACGTTCAATTAGATCGATATCACGTGATTCATTACTATTAGTATCAATGTCTTTTAAAATTGGCGCACATTTAACAATAAGATCAACACGCCTGCGTGTTCCATCAACCATTTGTACACCTTGCCGTACAATAATAATAAGTTGATATTTTTTTAACTCTTCAATAACACAATCAAGATAGGCTGCATTTCGTTTCAATTTTGAATTTGAATAAACTGATGTACGTGTAAATGCAACAAATGGAAATAGTAATAGTTCATGAGCAAGTTCTAAAGATTTTAAATATGATGGATCGACCATTGTTTTCAAACGTTTCGCTGCTGGTGACATTGATTGAGGAGGATATGGTGAAGATGATCGTATCAGCCATGGATACTCGGATGTTGCTGGTTGATTTAAGGATGATAAATGACTAAAAATAATATTTGCATCTATTTATTTATAATCTATTTTAATTAATTTGTTTAATGAAATACTTGAAAATAATAAATAGAATTATAATAGAATCTTAAGTTTTCGTTAAAAATAGATATCCTCTAAAGATTTATCCAAGATTCTTGTTCTAAAATTAAGCTTATTTATTTTCTAATAATGTAGCTATAAATAACATATTAGCCGATAGCTTACAATAAAAGATCAAAAAACTAAAGAATCCTGATTAACCATCGGGTGAATAACTTCCTAGTAAAAAAAGCATATCCTAAGGCAATTTATTTGCGACAATCATCGAGTATACGCAATTCAATGTCATCAAAACTTAAAAAATAATTTGTTTTTTGATCTAAAAATGAAGAATAGCTACATACTCAGAGTTAGATGTCCCGGTACTTAATGTTGACTCGAACATAATTTCAAATTGTTTTATGCTTGTATTCACAAAATAAATAGCTGATTGAACAATAGCTGAATTAATATAAATTCTCCTTGTTATTGTTGTACCTCTTGTTTGTTCAATAATTCGCATACAATTATCAAAAAGTATCTTATCTGTTTGACCAAATGTATGAAATGTTCGTTTATAAACAATTAAAGTTTCAATAGCCATTTCAATAATACGCAATGACGCTGATACACGTATGGCATGTTCTTGTGCAGATAAATAACGTGATGCCATCCATGGATGACTATCTTCAAATGATGTGGCTAGAAAAATATAAAAAAATATAATGATTATTTTTTGTTTTTGTTTCTCTATCAAATATATACCTTTTAAAGAAAGTCCATCGAGATAATCGCATAGCAATTGATTAGCTTGTGGTTCGTCAAAATAGAAGTCAATTGCATTTGAACAAAGGCAATTAATTACTATAATCAATTGTTCAAGGGATGGATATCGATTGGGATCAAAGACTTTCAATCGTTGACAAAACAGACGTGCTTTACTTGCTATAAATACCATTAGCCAATCTGTATTGTTATTTAATTGAATCTTTTTATTATTAAATTTAATATTCAGCAATTGTTGAACATAATGTCCATTACTTGTGCCCATAATGGAAGAAGTTTCATATCGTTGAAGATGTGTGTTGGTTTTATGTTCATCAAAGTTATCTGATATACAAAAGCCAACAGTTGATTGAGTTGCATCATCTGATCGACAGAATATATTTGAAATTAATGTATTTCGACCATCAAATGGTGTGCCTGTTTGACGAAGTGTTTGTACATTATTCATAGCATGTTTAATATGTTCAACAAGCGATGTTCGTTCATAACCTGCGCAATAAATGAGAATAAAGTTACTTCGGCATAAATAAAATTGTTTACAGTAATTCTCTTAAAGCTCGTCTAGGTCAGACCGGCCTCCTGAAGAACAAAAAATAGAACTAATGAATGTTTTCGATATATCTTCACTCGGATTATTTCTTATGCTTGTCATTCATTTTAATTATTTTTTTTTCCATTGAAAGGAAGTATATTTAAAATGCTGACAAAATAATTAACAGTTTTAAACAAACAGATTCTCTACGAATGCTCAAACTTATTATTTTGATTCAGTTGTCTCAAAAAAAAAACACCAGATTTTCAAAATGCACTTATAAATAGTGCAACATGATACACAAAAATATCTGAACTCTTTTCTAAATATGGCAATCGTAATAGCAAACATTCTGTTAACGTTTTTCTTTTCTGTTTGCAAGCTATTTTTTATAACTACACTATTCTGAAAAAGATCATGAAATGTAGACTATGAAATTGTGATTTCCCTCAAATCATAAGTAGTTTTGATTATTTACCCGTTCTAGCAACTAATAATAGATGAAGATTGAGTTTATGTCTTAATTGATTGTCAGCATAAACAAACGATGTTGATGTTAAATAATGTGATGTTAAACCGAGTAAATGAACAAATAGACTAATATAATCATACATATAAAAATCGCTCAATATGTGCACTAATTCATATGTGCTTGGCGATAAAATTTGGCGTAATTCAACTTGATAAGATTCATTAAGAACAAGAAATGTTGAATGAAACCATCGCTCAGTTGTATGAGCTATTTCGTCTTCCATCGTTGTATTACTCTTCTTTTTTTAGCTTTTTGTTTATGTTCTCTATTGACTGCCACTTATTCTTCTGACGACGACAAGAATTCTGATTCAAATAAAAAGAATTCTTCTCTTGTGTGTTCTACTTTTTTCCTTGTTTCTTCCATCAAGTCTAATGCAAGTTGAGTGCAGAATTTTATATATGCTGCCGTTCGCGGCTGAGAGAGAAAGAACGGGCAGAACCGAATAAATATATATTTTGCCCTTAAGCAGAACAAAAGAAAGAAAAAGAATGAATGAATGAAGAATTATGAACGCAATTCTCTCTTTTTTATGAATCAAAAAAAGCAAAAACTGAAACTTTCACAATCGGATAAAGAAAAAAAGAATAGAACTATTCCTATAATTATCAGCATCAACGCCAATAACTCTTCAATTTTATCATAATCAAATCAAAGAAACAAAGAAAATATTTTCCCATCACGATAATGTGAGATACTATCTACATGATTGAAAGAAAAAAGGCGTTTTCTTCTGGACATTTTTATTATCGTTAATCTAAATAAAATGACTTTCTTACTGAAGCCATCAATTGTTTCTTCAATAATATGTTATTCAATATTAATATATTGATCTTCAGAGAAATCTCTAAGACTACCAGTTTCTAAAAAGTCAAGGAGTTCATCGTGCATTGATCCCTAGACTTGTGTAGCGTAGTCAAAACGAATGGAAAAAAAGTTCTTTGTCACTATTGTACTTTCATTTTATTTCACTCTTAAGTTTTAATTCAAAAATTAATTATCGTTTGTGAACAGTAAACTAGAGTATCGTGGCAACAATGTGCCCTTAAGTATGACCCTGTTCGTTAGTATTTACTTTTATTTTTGCAGGCGAAACTTGAAAAAATCAATAAATATGAATCATTTAATTAGTGCAAATGTACGATGTCTTTTTAAATCAAGAAGGAAACGGCGGACTTGAAGTAGAAAAGTACGCCAAAGTAGACTACTTGAAGTAGGTCAAAGTACCACCCAAGTAGCACAAAGTAGGAACAAGTAGCTTAAAATAACCTCAAGTAACTTCAGGAAAATTTGAAGCTGAAAAGTACTTCAAAGTAAGCTTCTTCAAATAGCTAAAAGTAACTTCAAGTCCAAAAGTCCGCCGTTTCCCCCTTGTTTTAAATTCGCATAGGCAAATATTAATGTATGTCATTCTTCGCAGGTGTATAAATAGTCATTTATTCAGAAGAGATTTTCAATATTTAACCATTGAAGCGTTCTGTAATTAATCTATCGAGCTGCTGAGACATAAAATATGAATATTGATCTGCGTTCGAATATGTAAGCAGTCATAATTGTACCTACTGCTTGTCTTCGTTTCTATTATTTTTTTGTAGAAGTATTTAGTGTGAATGGCACAATATGATAATCGTGAATTCAATGTTTGCTGATGACAGAATGAATATGATAAATTTATTATATACTCATGTCTTATTAAAATTTCATGATGAACAGATACTGACATAGGTAAATTGAATCTAAAAACTATTAATTCGTTTCTTCCAATGGAAAGAACAAAAGTTTTTTTTGCGATCAATGATTAGTTCATAACTATTTTTACATATTTGATATAATTGATTAAGTTTTTGTGTGTTGTATTTGTGATTCATTTTTTTAAATAAAGAATAAACTTCTTATCCAAAAAATTAATAAAACCTAGAAACAACTACTCTATAATATATGCTTGAGTAGTAAAGTAAGATAATACTGTTGCTCGTGGCGAAGAATAATCACTTATTTATTGACATGGAAGCACTACTCGTTTTCATAAGATAATAACTCTGATTTTTCAGATTTTTATGCAAACTATGGCTTACTAATAATCCTATGAATAAAAAAGATTCGTGACAATAATGAATTACTTTGTTTAAAGACCATTGCGTATGTTCAAACTATATTATTGTATCCATACATAAGTTCAAAGAAAATTCTTTATTAGTCCAAAGTGCAGATATTGATCATTTTTTCAAAAACATAATTTATCATAATTTTGGGGTGAGCAGTATTGAAAAAATAGTTTATACTAATTATAGGTAATAATTTAAATAAATTATCCGCCTGCATTTAATTATATCGAAGAATCATTTTCTGATTCGGATGTACTATTTTCAGTTCGCTATTATAGGAGTCTAGTTTTCTTGATGATCTATTTTTGACTAGCATAAAAATAGGTCACATTGTCGTGTTTAAATTCTTTAAAAGATAACAACATGTTGTTGAACAGGTCAATAAAATCTAATTCTCGTAGACTAACAAAAATAGGATGCAATTATATAATAACAGATGACTTCAGTCCTATAATTTACTGAATATACAACAAAAGCAAAGATTTTTTTGGTAGCGGCGCATGCTCTTGATGCTTTGAGAGCATTTTTATGATCAATATTTGTACTCATTCATTGGTGTAGACATGATTTTAGAAAATTACAGTCAACAGGCAGTTATAAATGAATAGTGTCGTCGCATTCGAGCAATAAAGTAATAAAAAAAAACGCATCGTTTTTCATGCGACACTTCACTTGTCATGTTTTGTTAGAGCTGTAGAAATTAGTATGTAGTCGGCAGTTGATATTTTTAGCAAAGACACCTTACACTTCTAACAAAAAAAGAAAGCATCACGCATCTATGAACCGCCGACTCTACATATTTCAGTAAATTAAATGAAATGAAAATGAACAAAGTATCGCGTCCCGATGTGTGCAATGTGTTGGGTAAAATTTAATTGTTATGAACGTGAGATTATCTTTGCTCCTTCCAGAAGGACGAACACAGGGAGAAAGTTGACATCATGATATGGAAGCATGTTCTCTAATGAAGGTGTTAACATCTTGTCGAATAACAGAAAATCGTACTCAGCTTTATTTATATTTAACAAGAAGTGCAACGATAGAAAAATAATAGACGTGATTTATTTTGCTGAAGTATGATGTTATATGGTATAGTGCCTTTTTATTTTATTTCTTTTCGTTTCACAAAAACAGATAAGGGCACACGTTGATTAAAAACTACTGCTGTTTATTTCCTGAGAATCCAAAGTTGTGTTCGGCCGAACGAATCAATGAATTCAAAACAAAAATCTTAAAAATTATATTTCCAATGGAAAAGTTTTCCAAAAGTGAAACTCATGTTAATTTTAAAAAAATATTTTTTTATATTGATCTAAAAATTAATTAATGGATTTTATTGGTATCAAATCAGTTGACTGTATAGCTTTGTAGTGCAAAACGACATCTATCAAGGTTGTTGTCGTCCAATCTATATCTAATTCCAAAGTTCGTTCGTCACTCACTTGTCGGTCGGTACATTGAACTTTTATATATATATATACATCCAGACAGATTGATTGATTTTTATTTTTAAGGAACATAACTAAGGAGATATAGTGAATAAATAGTGTTCTTTTTTTAGTCGTATCTGTTTTTTTTACATACTCAACATCGTTTGATCGAGACAGTTCATGGCATCCGCAGTTGATTCTTCAAATCATACAGCATCTAATCATGGTAATATATTACCGAAATTCAGTGATTATCGGTCTCGAGTATGTTAGATTGTTTCTTTTGAAAAAAATTAATATGTCGATGTTGCATCTATGTAGGTAATGCTCGGTGATCTTCCGCAAGATTTTCTTCGTATACAACTTGTAGAATCTCAACTCTATAGACCATCGGCTTTTGATCATGCACTCGAACACGACTCCAATTTTATTGGTTACTTTACTTTCAGTATTACTGAAGTAATTAGTTATCTATTGTATTAAATGAAACTCAAGATTTTCTTTTCTTAGGCTAAACTAATCAAAAATTCGGGTCCCCTAGGTCTACTAAGAATGGATCCATATGTTCGCTTTCAAATTGGTTCTATTTCAAATGAAACACCAACAGCAACTGGTGGTGGTAAAAATCCACAATGGAACATCTCATATCGAATGTACGAATAAATTCTCATTGCTTATCACGAATGATCAAGTTTATTATTATTTCTTCTTCTTCTAGTAACCTATTTAAAGGTATGGAGCGAATATATATAGAATTATTTGATCAGGTACATTTGTTGGTTGGTTTTTTTCGCATTAAAAATTATATTCGTGTCGAAAAATTTTAGCGCAGTTTTACAGAAGATAATTTTATTGGAGAATGTCGAATAGAAATTCCACAGGAAGTAATCAGTGGTCAAACAAAACTAAGCTGGTATCCGTTAATGGGACGAGAAACCAGTGCCAATGAAAATCAAGGCGAAATTCTTGTTATGATGAGTTTAATGGTAAGAATACACCTGAAATCATGTATTTGACTTTTAGCGATGAGGAAGTAGCTTTCTAAATTAATTAATTTATTCAGACATCTGGATTATTTCATTTTCTCTCGCTCTCTCTCATTTCTTATTCATATCACGGTATCTAATTTAGTATGATCAGATATCTTTTTATAAACTCTCACATCTTTTACAGTAAACCATCAATAGTGTTGTCTGACAGTTGTTTTTCTGTACTTAAAGTGCACTTTTTGTTTTGACCTTCGATCTTTCTATCAGTGTATAAGATTGACTAAGCACGAAACTACACAGATTCCTATAGATACTATGTGAATATTTAGATTTTTATCTAAATAATGATTTCATATTAATATTTATGTTTAAATTTTATTTTATTTTATTTTTATTAATTTCCTTTTACATAGCCAATCATATCAGATCAACCGTCAGACATAGATGATGTAAATCTTTTAAATAGCTCAACTGGTTCTTCGTCAACATCATCTCCATCCAACAGTGTTGTTGAATCAGCAGCAATGTATTCGTCAGATGACATACGAACAATTGAAGAAATGTTCCCTGCAATTGATCGTCAGATAATAATTGATTTATTGGAAAAACACGGAGGAAATAAAGATCTCGTTGTTAATCATCTTTTACAAAATATTATCTCTTAATCTGTATTTATTGTTTTTTGTTTTTGTATGTAAAAATAATTCTATCTAAGTCATATTTGTGTATTACGTGTAATTAGTTGTTTATAGGTGTATTCATTTTAGATAAGAGATGTCGAATGCAAATAACGCTCCAGCACCAAAAGCAAATCAAACTTTAAATGATTTTCAAAGTGTTCAACAAAATGATTCAAAGTTTTGGCGTAAAATTAAAGCAGATCCAATTGTTCCAGCTGGTATGTAAAAAGTTCTCTTACATATAAATTTTCAAATAAATATTGAATTTCTTTTTTGTTTTTATTCTATCAAGGTATGGCAGGGTTTGGTTTGATAGTACTTGGAGCTATCATAGGTTTTAACAGACGAGATCGAAACAAGCCCACGTCAACGTACTGGTACGAAAATAAATTCTAATTGCAATAGACTTTTGAAATCTTCTTTTTTAAATAAATAGGATTCGTACTCGTGTTTACGCACAAGGTTTTGTCGTATCTCTACTTACCGCAGGAGCCATCTACCAAGCAATCAAAGCCAACTCAGAGCCACATGATATTCATGGTCACAGTTTGAACCACGACAGTCATGGTCACAACCATGGTAAAACTCATTGAAAATAACAAATACATTGTTTTTCGATGGAGGCCACACAGCTCACCCATTCTATATGAAGTCTTTGCTCCTTTATGTTTTTCCCTTAGATAAATATGCTTTTAATAAACTGTTGTTGGTTAATGGCTGCCAACACCATAAAAACTTGATCGTTTTTCTTATATATTAATACTGATCAAATTTAGGGGAAATATTTCCATTGGGATAAAATACGGCTTGTGATTCTTTCAATCTAATAGAATCAATCGGAATCCATAGAAAAAATAATAATAGCAGCACATCATTCGTGCATCGACATATTTCTCTTGCACCGCTTTTCACTGTAACTCACGATGAAGTACATATTATATTTTCAAGTAAATTTGTTATTCTATACTAAGTATTTTCTTCGACATAGTAACGAAAAATTGGTAATTGGATCTCATGGTGTTCATCTATTAGTCTCATTCTTACGGAAGATCAGTATCACTCCTGGCTTTTTGACTGGATAAGAAAAGACGAGAATCTATATTTTTTACTTTCGAGCTACTCTTTATTTATGTATTTCTTCCTATTATATTTTGACGTGGCTGTGAATGTCGATACAAAATATCAGTGATTGGTTTAGCTCATATTCTGCTATGGAACCGAATCCAAAAGCTATCTAAATCAAAATATTCTATTTCTGACGGATATAAATTTTAATCACACCCACACTCCTGAGATAGTCGAATTTCAAGATGGTTACAGTCGATGTCATTTGATCGCAGTTCAAATGTACAGTGTACTGGATACCGCCTCGTTTTACTTGGTGTGAAGATAATCTTAAATCAGTTACATTAGGCAAAATATAATATCGTAGCTATATATTCAAAAGTAATTGTATATCGATAGGAATTCATTGTCTATTATGTTCGTATTTAGAAAAACAGTTATTTTAGATTTCTCTTTTAAATTATCAACTTTTGTATGTACTTAAACTTAATTGTAATATTGAATAAAAAGAAGCGTACAGTTCACTTAAAGTTTGAACTGTTACTACACGAGTTCGACCATCACAACCAACATAAATTATATACAACGTACATTTTAAATTCAATAGTGTAGTAGTGTAAATATTCATTGGATTCGAATGGAATCAAGTTCTTTAAGTTACACTATACGACTGTTCATTGTGAGATTAAAAAAGTATTCTAATAGAAAAGCATATTGTATTAAATGTGTTTCCAGATGATATAGAACATAATCGAATGTTGCAGAGTAATTTTTATTATCTCAATAGATCATAAGAAATACAATAAATATTTAGGGAAAAATCATTGCATTGATATCGATATGAATTGTTTAAAATTTGAAATTGTTATATCAATTAAGCAAGCGGACTTGTTTAATTTGATCTTTTTATTTGTTTGAAAAAATTGATTAACAAGTTCAAGTCTACATATATTTAATATCATTTCTACAATCATCTGTTGGCATCAGGAAGTCATCCCATGGCTGAGCACGGTTTTGATTGCAAAATAAAATTAGATGTAATTTTCTTGTCCAATAATGCGTTTGTGTTTTCATAAATATAGTTGAGTAAGAATGTCATCTACCGTGTTTTTCGTTCTGAATATTTTCCTACGTTCCACTGTATCGACGTCATAAAATAAAACTATTACTTATTTTGTCAAGTATGGCCACAGAGTAATATATATCAGATCAACTGAGGTTAACTAATATCGTAATTAAATAGTTGCTTCTAAATAGGGATGGTTTTGGCTTTAAGTAGATGTAGAAGATATGTTTTCTTTGTAGAGACAGACCTAAATGAGAGTTTCTTTTTGGCATATCCTTGACATGACAATCATTTAGGTTATACATATTTTAACATATCGAATGTCAATGACTGCTTTAGGACTACATAGTTGCTTTATTCATAAGGAAATTATTGCCCTTGGTAGTTTTGTAAAATTTTGCACAGCGAGTTTAAGGCGTGCACTCTCAGAAAGCTTTTCTTCTCGATTTAAAATTATGTTTTGATATTGAAAACAATCAAGCAACTTGCATTGTGACTAATGTGATGCATGGAAACTAAAATGTTTCATGATTAGTAACTGGCTGCTGAACTTCGCAGAGAGACTCTTTCAAAAATAACTGCCAACACGTCGTCGCCAGTCTATCTTTTGGTCATCGTAATAGATTTCATTCACTATTCATCCTGTCTAGAAACTCGCCGATAAAAAGATCTGATTGATGAGTGAAAGTTGAACGAGATTTTATGGAAGAAAATGAAATTTTGTTGTCAAGAGTGAACTAATTGCTGTATAAGTGATATCTTTTTTTTTGCGAGCAAGTTCAAACAGTATAATATTATAATCAAAAATTGTCACTCTGTTAATCTAATGGCATTATGTATAACCTGTCAAAAATGTATTCTCTTAACTTACTATTCTTGTCTTAAAAACGTATTGTCATCAAAGGAAAAGTACATTCTAAAGATAAGAAGTCCTGACAGAAAACATGAAATGGACTTCACTTATCAGTCATCATTTGTACGAAGGCATGTGTTATACTCATTGATTCATCCTAGTTAGACATTTCAAGGAGAAAAAAACACAAACATCGATAACTAAATCAAATGGAATGACTCACATGAGAAAGAACGTATTAATATCATGTTGCAACAATCAATTGATTCATTAACTTTTGATCTTTTATATAGTAACAATGTTCAGTGTCATTAAAAGTCTGTTGATTCTTATTTTAGAAAAAAGATTGCTACAGAAGCTTGAATCGCTAAATGGAACGTATACATTCTGATGTTTTCATATGAATATAAGATTCAAAGGGAATTTTTTGATATTGAAAATTTAAAAAAGAAACAGTTTTCAATCAACTATTTCAAATAGAGAACTTCGAAAAGAAAATTGAACTCTACTGTTCCAAAGCTACAGATATAATCAAATATTTCAAAGTAGTGAAATCAATTATTGTAAACTATGATATGAAAAATATTTATTTCATGTGATGTTTCAGACTGATCTCCGTAGCGTTACGAGCTTCCTGAAGAAAATAGTCTGAAATTATTGGCATGTAGTAAAGTAATTTCTAGAAATCTTCCTTGATTATAGTTTCATCCGAAAGTAATCGAAGGAAATTGCAAAGGACGTTACAGGAAATGACGACAACTATTTTTAATACCCCTGTGAATAAATGAGTTTATAATTTGAAAAACTGTACAAGACCACTTTTAAAATTTAATTTAATTTCTGAAGTAGTTCTATTTCACGAATCAGTGATTAAAAGATATCCCTCGATATCACCTTTGCCAGTGCTGACAATTATAGAAAATTCCTTTTTTCCCCACAATATGATCATGTTGTGTCATCTTTCTTATCTGTTTTCGTTTCTTTTTACGCACATTTCGTCAACGAGCACTAACTGCTATGTTTCTTTATCATCAATTATTTACGATAAATGAAATTAGTACTGAAAGCGTATGCTGTGCTGAATCTGAAAATTTCTTGAAATCAAATTTGATCCAAGAAAAGCTAAACAAACTTTTAATAATATCATACATTTTTGTTTGCATCATCACGATAGATTTCGTTGTTATTTGTCTTCTTATCTTTATTTTTCTACTCTAACATCATCGTGACATAGGACAAAAAAAATCATATTAAACATTTTTTATTATTATACTCAAATATTGTGATCATGGCAAAACCGAAAGTAACTTGCTTATACAGCTAATTAAATATAAATTCTATAAAAACCTATTCATCATCAATAGGTATTCACTAAAGAGTTGATTCTTACCGCACTTGCCACGGGTTCAGGTGTAGTTTCATTTGGTTGGAATACGGGCTGTCTTAATAGCGCACAAGAATCCATTAAACCATGGATCATTGAATCGTATCATCATCGAACAGGCATTACACTCTCACACTATGTACTTACGTTTATATGGAGTACTACTGTCGCAATCTTTGCTATTGGCGGTGCTATAGGTGCTTTCGCAGCAAGTCCTGTAAGTCGTCGATATGGTAGACGTGGTGGTCTTCTCAGAACAAATTTACTTGGAATAATTGGAGCAACTTTTATGGGTGAGTGTTCATTGTTGTTTCTTTTTTTTCTGAGCAGACTTGAAAAACAAACTTTCTATTTAGCTGTATCAAAATTTATTCATTCACCTGAATTACTGATTATTGGTCGTTTAGTAATCGGTATCGAATGTGGTTTGTATACTGGTCTATGTACCATGTATTTGAGTGAAGTCAGTCCGAAATCTATCCGAGGTATGATTGGATCACTCACTGGTCTTTCCGCCTATTCGGGCCTTATGGTAGCTGAAATAGTTTCAACACCTAAAATGCTCGGAACAGATTCACGATGGCCATTGATTATGGTCATTGCAGCTTTGCCAAGTGTGACTCAATTTATGCTTCTTCAATTCTGTTACGAAAGTCCAAGATTTTTATTAATGAATCTTGACGATGAAAAAGGTGCTCGAATAGCATTAAGTGCAATACGAGAACGATTGAATGTTGACGATGAAATTGAAGAAATGAAACAAGAAGGTGAACATTTAAAGGGTGAATATCATGTAACGCTCAGAGAATTGTTTTCTCAAAAAATATATCGGTATAGATTTCTATTGAGTGCAATACAAATAATATCTTTCTATTTGATATTTTAGATTACCTCTTGCTGTAGCTATTGTAGTTCATTTTTCTATGCGTTTTTGTGGTATAAATGCTATTATGTACTATTCAACTGCATTGTTTGAGCATGCCAATGTTGGAAGTGTGGGTCCATATGCCACAATTGGCGTTGGTGTTATACTTGTGACTATCACATTAGTATCAGGAACACTCATGGACCGAGCTGGTCGACGAACACTTCATCTCGTTGGTCTTTTTGGCACATGGTTATGCAGTCTTTTACTGACAATAACGTTTATTCTGACAGTATGTCTATCTTGAATGATTATTCTTGTGCCATTATTCTTCTTTCTCTTGTAGCATTATGCATCAGGGTTAAAGTATCTTTCCATTGCCTTTGTATATATATTCGTTGTATTTTTTGCTATTGGACCTGGTTCTGTACCATGGGTTATTCTTCCGGAAATCTTTGCACAGGGTGCACGTCCAGCGGCTACAAGTGTTGCCATTGTAACTAATTGGATGTCAAATTTTGCTGTCGGACTTATATTTCCACTTTTAGCAGTAAGTGAATCTTATTGGTTAAAATATGTTTACTAGTAATTTATCTTTTATTTAGGAAAATGATAAAATATCAAATTATTCTTTTGTTCCATTCGCTGTAATTACTACATTTGCCTTTTTATTTCTTTGGAAATATATGCCTGAAACAAAAAAACGTACTTTTGAAGAGATAACAATGAATTTTCGTCGATCTCAATAATATGCAATTGTTTTGTTTTTCTATTGGTTAAACTGAGAATTACAATCATCTGTTTAAAATAAAATCTTTCGTTCATTAGAATAATCACTTAAACTGTTTTTATTCTTGTTATCACTCTATGTGTACAGTCATTGAATTATTCCATACACTGATTTACTACATAGAAATGAAATACATTTAGAATTGTTGATATCAAAGTCTTGTTTCTCAACATCTATGTTCCATAGTTTGATTGAGCACTCGGACATTTTTATCCAAACCACATAATACATAGTCCAGTGGAAAATTACTCTTGAAACTCGTGATCTTTAAATCAACAATTGCAAACTAACAGTTTTTTTTTGCGACCAACGATAATATAAAATGTTACCAATATAACAAATTTCATTTGAGTATACCAGACATTGTCCGAAATACTTTATGATTGAAAAGGCATGTGAATTTCAGGTATGCTTAATATAATAAACCATGTCGAACAAGAGAACATGAGCTGTAAATAATACTTTATCTAATTCATCACGTTCGCTTAACGAGTAAATTGCTGGAAATCACAGTATTATGATTATAGAAAACAGTGTGTGAGTGAATCAAAACAAATTTTAACTCCAAAAGTTAGAAGGTTCCTCTTCAAACTTAATTAAATGTTAACTAAAATTTTAGTTCATTTCGTTCTAACCATTAATTAAAACTTGCAACGAATCCTTGTTTTGAAAATCTTTCATCTACCTTAGAAATTGTATGAACAAATCATATTTCATATATTGAACTGAGTTAACTACGTTTGATATAATTATATAATCATAGATTGCATTGTTTAAGGTTTAATAGATGATACGATGATGAAATTAGTGATGAGCATGAAGCAATACTGTGACTTTTATACCTGACGTTTGTGTTTGCTTTTGTATTTCGTTAACAAAATATTTCTTACAACTCTATTCAATAGAATTCCATTTAACTACGTAATCGTTTTTAGAAAACCATCTTCGTTTATTCAGTTTCTATTAGGTAACTTGTGGTTAGCGTGCTTTTACAACATTCCTGTCCATTGCTCAGTAACAATTTCGTATAATAGTGACCATCTGTTTCTAGAAACTCAAACTCATTTCTATTAGTATTCATCACTGAGTACATGATCGATCTGACTTCGTATGACTGTGCAATTCTCGTTTCATAATACTTTAAGAGAGAGACATAGGTAGCCTCAACTATCATATCATCATAGATTCAAAGCAAATCAATGTGAATGAACTATCACGTGAGTTCAATAGTTCTATTCGTAAGCTCAGAATCCAAATGACGAAATCGACATCAATCATCCTTACATCTAGCCTCTGAGTAATGTGAATTTCTACACAATATCAATCAATTTCATGTTGGATTTTTCAACAGCTTTTTTTGTTGCCATTACGCTGTATCTGGAAGAATACTAGAACTGAAATTCAAAGTAGATCTAATAGACATATTATTATATACAAGATATTCTATTGTTCATTCATGTAACAAATTCTTAATTGTTAATTAGATCATATAATGGCCAGTAATATTAAGAGAACTGTTAGTTACTAATAGATTAGATATGTACGGGCTAAACTTTTTTCTTCGTTTAGTTACCATCTACATATCTTGTATACAAAAACATCTGTGCATACCAACTTTGCCAGCACTTCAAGCAGTAGTGTCAAACTTGAAACTTGAATTCAGTTGAAAATAGAAAATTTCAACTTTCAACTCATAGCGATATATATGTGCGAGTCACGATTCTTCAGAATGCTAATAGTTTAAAAGTTGAAAATTGAAATTTTCAATTGAATTCAAGTTTCAAGTTTGGCATATATAACTTCAAGAGGATATGAATTAGAAAAATAATTGCAAAATTATTAAAATTTTCCTTGGCTTAGTATATTCAATTATTTTATCTAAAAAAGCAATTCCATTGTATCTAAAAGATCGAAAGATACGATTACTCAAGGCACTCGATCCTGTCTCCGAATCCTACCGGAACCCATCGGAACCGGCACCGGGTCATTCCAGAAGCCGGCATGTTTACCACTAAAATCTGCCAGAATCCGACAGGGATTTCGCCGGAACCTCTGCTCCCGGAATCTGGACCAGAATTCAAAGGAAAATGGTCCTGTCGTTTCCTGACGGATAATACAACCGAACATTGTCGAAACCAATCGACCCCGACTGCTGAGAATACATCCTATTCCGCAATGTTGAACATTCCGGAATCAGTTCCGCTCACGGAACCAATTCCATCCAGTTCCCGAAATTCCGTTTATCCCTTCTAACACAATTCCGGAATTCCCGGAATCACGGCCAATCAATTCCATCTAATTCCCGGAATTCCGTTTATCCCTTCCGATTCAATTCCCGAATTACACGGAATTCAAACGGATTCCGCCTAATTCCCAACGGTTCCGGAATTCAGTGCACTTACACTAACATTCACATCCACACTTATGCCAACACCCACACCGTGTAATTCCGGTACGGAATTCCGGGAATCAGGTCGAACAGGAATTGATCGCAATTGAATGGAATTACACGGAATTCCTAGGAATTCCGTCTAATTCCCAGCGATTCCGTATTGACCTGATTCCGGAATTCCGGACCGGAATCGGATCATCACGAAATTGGAAAGACAAGCTAGAATAGTGATACAAGTTGTAATTCCGGGAATCGGACGAACTAATTCCGGAATCGCAGGAACTATTTCCGGAATCGTACAGTGTTCATGTTTGACCTAATTCTGGAATGTTCAACATTGCGGAATTGGATGACTGCTCCGACTGCTGGATGATGCCGGGTTCCTAAGAGCTTCACAACAGCTTTGACCGGATTCCGTCAGATTCCGATGACCAGTTCATCATACAAGCGTTCTTCAATCACAAGATGAATCAACTGTAGTCTTCAAGAAAACGCACACCAACCGAAACGACTACGCCTCCTCAATAATCACACATAATCCATACCGTCACCACCTCAACGGATCCAAAACAAGCATTTTCGCCAACAGCAACCACCTCAAGAAAAATTGTAACTCGGAACCAACAACATCTGATTCACCAATACACACGCTTATAACGATCCAGAACCAACCTACTATACATCGTATTCATTAAACAAATTATAAATACGTTCACTGGGTCATCTTGTAGCATTTCAATTCTTGGAAAAATCTCTCCACACATCATTTTGCACCCATCGACATCATTAATAATTCATAGAAAATGCATCTGGATATGATTCTGAACCATCGCCACTTACTTTTTCATCCATTAATTACACATTCTAAACCTATAGAATGAGCCACTGTCTTCACCAAAAATTAAAAGAAAATCGCTCCACACATCATTTTGCATCAATCAAAATATTGCATCAGTCGTATAGAATCGTTCAAATAACCATTCTCGATGGTTCCAACGTACCTTTTCTTCGTGAAACAGGATTCTAAGCATCTTTCATTATGGATCCAACTACGCTTTCCTCCGACGAAAATCACTCCAAAGCTCAACCTCGAGTTACCGAAAAATTCACTAGGACATGGACAATCCTTCTGATAGCCATTGTAGATCGTTCTAACATACCTTTTCTTCATGAAACATGATTCTGAGTGACATCCAAAAA